ATTGAATCAACTGTATTGTTCAATTAGCGTGTATAAACTGATGTTAGAGAAATGTCACGAACACGCACGGAGATGATATAAGCGAGGGAGGAGAAAAACCGAAAAAAGACACTCAACGCGCACTTACGCGAAGCGTACTCACCCGTCCATTAAGCGGCGACGATGCGGCCATGGAACGCCATGGGTTGCCGACAACCCCGTCAATTTCTCACTGCGAGGCCGACGACTTCGCTCAGCCACGTTCCACGAGCCGAGCGTTACTCCTCTCGAATTAATCGTCGTATCGCAGCACGCTCGGTCCAGCTTCCAGAACCTCTTGGATTATCTTGCTTCCGAGAGCAACGTGCTCTTCCTCTGCGTCGTTCAACAAATGTAAACAAGGTGTTCGGAGCTTGCGCGTTGCCCGGAAGCTTCGCCGTGAACCACGCAGACCTTTCTGCCCGTGCACGCGATTCCCAACCTGTCTACGTTTCTCTGTCTTCTGCCCTCTCTCCCAGGTTCTCCTCTTTTTCTCTCCCCCTTGGCGAGGGCCTACGCACGCGTCTCTCTCCCTCGAAAAGGAAAAGGCTACCCTTCGTAGCAACCCTGTGTGTTACGCGTCACGGGTCCGTGGAAGTTCGGCCGCTTTTACTAGAGCCGCCGCCACCGCCGCTGCTTCGCCCCCGCGCGATCCATGGCGCTGTAATGGCGACGCAACGGTTATGGGGGTCGCCGCGCGCGAAGCCACCCCCATGCACGATGGGGAAGCACGATCAATACCCTAATCCCCGCGATACGCTTTTCCGCTCCGTGTCGCTCGCCCCTGTCCCCGACCGATGTATCCTGCCCGTTTCATCCCCGCTGTCTCTGCTCCACGCGTCTCTCTGTACTCTGTATCGAGTCGAATCGGAGAGCTTTGCGTCTCGCTTTTGTCATCTCCGTCCTCGAGCACTTGCGGTCGACTTCTTCGTGAAAAATCGGGGAATCCCACCGGCATCGTCCTGCCTCTTTATCTCCTGCGATGCAATCGCATCGAGGGTGGCCTCGAGTGCTCGTTGCGAGCGGCTTAATCGGGAACTTCGAGCACGCTCACAGTGGTCTCCCGGGGTTCGTTACAGAGTGGGAGCGTATTTACATGTTGCTCGTTGTATAAAAATGCAGAAGCTACAAAATCATTTAAACTTGCTCGATGTTACATAGTCTCGTTTGAGTATTTCGATATTTTTAGTCGCCCATATCTCAGGATCACGTTATAAGGGATTGAAGAAGTCTGGTTGTTTAGGTTATGCCTTTGAATATTCCTTGTCGCCGTTATTGATTTTTTCCCATTACGATTTAAACGGGTCCCAGTAACGATGGATACGAGGGCGAGTATTACGGTGAGTTTGACGGGTGAAGCACACCCTCCTCGGGAACGGGAGCGGGAGCCCGACAACGCCCATGAGGGGTTGAATTTAGCCCTTAATTACGGGGAAACCGGCTCACGAACGATCAGCCACCAGAATGTTCGGCTCGTCAAGGGTATCCTACCAAATATACCTTCTTAAGGCTTGATCGGTTTGATTTATTCCAACCCCTGTCGACGTTAACCAGTCCATTTCAGACGAAACTGATCAATTCGAAAATTCATGTGACAGTCATGACTTAAATTCTTCACATTTCTGGTTACTTTTTTCTGAAAACGTTTCAATACTCGAGACTGTGGAGAGTGTTAATTACTTTCCAGCAGTAGTTAAATAAGGTACGTACAAATGTTTAATTATGCACGTGGTTCATTTGCTTAGTAAGAAGACTTTAAGTGGGAGATAATTAACACTCTTCACGTTCTCGCTTGACAATCGAAATTGAAACGTCTCCAGAAGAAAGTAATCAGATTGAGATAAAAGAATTGTTGCGTCTCGCGAGTCAAAGGTGAGTTGAGTGAAGAGGAGAGAAGACAAAGAAAGAAGGAGGCGAACGGTGAACGAGAAGAGCGAGCGAGACGAACGGTGCAACCATTCTGCGCCCACGTCGATCCACCTGTGAACGAACATTATGTTACGGGCCGGTGTAAAGGGTCTTTCCGTTCGCACGCTCTCTTGTGCAACACGCTCTCCTGTCCTCCTCTCACGCTCGCGCCAGATAAAAACGTACGCGTCGCTGCGTGCTGCCCGCGCGAAACGGTGGGTACATGCACGCGTAACCAATCCCCCGATTTCATCGAATCGCTGCCTCCCTCTAGTACACTCCGATCGCCCGTGGCTAATTCGATGCGATGATCATTCTCTGAATTCCCTTGATCACTTAAGTTAATTCGAGGCCGATTAGTCGATGGATTTACTGATCGAGAAACTATCGTTCGGGTTCATCGTAGAAATGAAATGTCGGCTATTAGGGGAACATACAGCTTCTAAATAATTGTTACTTTCATAAACTTACAAATCTGGTAACGTTAGATGCATATTAAGGATGTATTGGCTATACAGTCAATCCCAAAAGATTATGCACTTTAGAAACGCATTTTTTAAAAAGAAATCAGACGTCGGAAGAACATTGCTAATAATAAACAACAACAAAAAATTTTCGGTTTTTCCGAGATTTTTCCAAGGGGTACCCCTTCAATTTCTTCCAAATTTTCGTTTTTGGCATTTAACTCCCAAACCGTTGGACATACGGGACAATTGCATACGACCTTTCTTGTAGAGGACGACGAGATCTACAATTTCTATATAAAAGTTCTTCGCTAGCGTTAATAGTTTACGAGTTATTGACGAAAAACGAAAAAACAGTTTTTTGCAAATTACTCGTTAACTATTAATGCTAGCGAAAAGTTTTTACATGGAACTTGTAGATCTCGCCGTCCTCTACAAAATGACCCTATAAATCTTCCCCGAAGTCCATCCGTTTAGAAGTTATGGGCAAAAAACGAAAATTTCACGAAATCTGAAAGGGTACCCCTTGGAAAAATCTTGGAAAAGTCGAATATTTTTTTTTCGCGGAATTTCGACAAATGCTTCGAGTAAAAGTTGTAGGT